CAAAATATTGATGTTACAATCAAAGGAAAAATATTTGATGTAGAATAACTCCAGTCGCTTGTTCTAATAATAATACATGGCATTTTATGCACAAATTCTTCACCACGTGTCAGACTCGTGGCTTTTGTTTATGACACAAATTTTTTACCACGAGTCAGACTAGTGGCTTTTGTTTATGGCACAAATTCTTTACCACGAGTCAAAATCATGGTTATAGGCCAAATGGTTAAATGGGTTACAACCCCAGGAAGTTATGACACAAACTGCGTCAGACAATCCAGAGCACAACTAACTTTCAAAACTTGCCAAGCATGCCTACATAAGGCTTTCAGGTTTGTTCTGGCGGCAAGCCTCTCTCTAGACAGGCAGTAGCGGTGGGAACAGCCAATCTTCTGTAACGAATCATGCTGATATGATTTTGCTTTCATTTAACCTTTCCATTTGACAAAATCTACCTGCTAATAGAGGTAGATTCCTAAAACTCTGAACTGAGCAAGACGTGACAAATGTACAAAACGAAACATCACATAAAGCTAATTAGTATAGTAAATAAATGTCACTATCTTCTTTCAATATGTCCAACTATTAAGTGTAAAATCTTTTATGCTACCTGATAATTTTATAAAAGTGATTTTATTCCAAATTTGTGTGATAATTAGTTATTTAAAATATGTTTAATAATAATGCATTCTACTGTGATCTATTTTATTCTTAGGATGGTATCACTTAAGTGAAGTTCAGGCACAGCTAATCTCTTTAATTGAATCTAATTAGCTAATCCCTTTAATCTCTTTAACTGAATTTATTCAGTTCCCATTTTTTGATGGGTCCTTAATTTTTTTCATTAATGGTCCTTAAAAGTCCTTAATTTCCATGTGCAGAAACGTGTACGAACCCTGTTATCATATGATGATTTGTATTGCTTTGTTTTTCATTTCGATATTTTTTATTAAGATGTTTTAAAACTGCGATCGGCTTTATTTTCTACAATGATGTTTCAGAACTGCAGTGCTTGCTTTCTTTTCTTCCATGATATTTTGTAGGAAGCTGTTTTTTCTTGTACTGTTTTCTCCATGGTATTTATGCCTGGGATATTTTCACCTGTAACCGATTTTTAATGATAATCTGGGCTATTTCCAGGCCATTCTGTTAGTGAAACGTGAATATCTTGGAACCAGCTTTTGCACACAGCAATAACGTGACAAGGAGTTGAATTTTGTTGAAATATGAATGCCTAATTTCAAAATGCACAAATATATAAATTCATGTATATCTTTGAAAACTTTGAATAAAAAACTGTAAATTTTTGCAGGTATGCTTAGAAATGCATCTACTTTAAGATTATGGTAAAATTTTTATTGATAATAATTCAATTTTTATTTATTATAAAAATTATTTTAAAATACAAATTTTAGAAATAAGTCATAAAAATGGACAAATTTTATTTGGAATGAATCTAAATGCAAAATGAAGAATCAAATAAGTTTAATAAAAAAGAGATATTAATAAATATATACCAAATTCAATTAATAGTGAGGAGCTAAAATTTTGAGAGATATGCTTTTAAAAACTACTCGTGCAATTTTTACAAAATATGGCACTTTGGCATAATTTGAGTCGTAGAATCGAAATATGGAAAACAGTTGGTATATTATTTCAAAACAAGTTTGATTTTCTGTCAATATATAAATCTAATATATATCCTAAGTCGCGCATTTGAGGCATGGAAAGCACAAGTTAAATTTTGACAATCGGCCCAGTAGAATGTTAGATATAGAACTGTCCCCTTTTTTGTGTGTGTACAAAGGTGTACATTTATTGATTTTTAAAAAAATTCTAAGTTGTATCTACTTATAATGCTAATAAAAATTTTTGTTGCTTTCTAGAAAATTTCTCCAAATGTCTTGGAGGAGAGTGCTGTATCTGATGATATTGTATCTCCGGATGAAGAAGGGATATGCACAGGAAAATATTTTACAGAAAATGGCCTAATAGGGCTTTTAGAACAAGCTGCAAATTCTTTCAGTCAGGTGCCTATTCTAGTTGCATCATCTTGTTGCTTTTAAAGTTTGATTATGGAATAAATGCTGATTTAATCATTTGACTTGAAATGTCTTATTTTTTGCTCTTTAGGGAGGAATGTATGAAAATGTAAATGAAGTGTACAAAATACTTATACCAATTGCTGAAGCTCACCGAGATTATAAAAGCCTTGCTTTGATTCATAACAAATTACATGATTCATTTGTGAAAATTGACCAACAAGTAAATGAAAATATCTTATGTATACATATTAATTTTGAAAGATTTTTCTGTTATGCATTTAACTACATATATGGGATGATTTTAGGTTGGCAAGCGAGTTTTTGGAACATATTTCCGTGTGGGTTTCTATGGTGCTAAATTTGGAGATTTAGATGGAGAAGAATTTGTCTACAAGGAACCATACTTAACAAAACTGCCAGAAATTTCTCATAGATTGGAAGTAAGTTTTGATTGTAATATTACTTTTCATATTTCTAAAAAATTGTTTTTATAACTTTTGTTTTGATTTTTCTCCTATATTTCCCAATTTTTGAAATTTGAGAACCAAAAAGAGACTTTAGCTATGATTAGATTGAAAGCTGAAAATTTTCAATATTGATTTTGATAGAAATTGTAAAAAAAAAGTATCATATATTCATGTTTTCTAGATACAATTCAGCATTTTGGGGTTGAAAATTGCTACCTGATAAGTGTACACTTTTTACTAAGACCACCTGTCAATGTTAAGCAAATTAGACTATGGGATCACACTGTTGCTCCTAAAGAGCAAGGCTAGTATAAAAAGGAAAGCTTATTTTCTGAGACAGATGTATAGATGAGTTGTTTGTGAACATATAGGTAAAAAATGGAATTTGATGGGCTTTGTATGTGGGGTGATTGTAGGAGGTTGGAGCTATGGAGTAGTTATCAATGCAATCACCATTATTGTGAAATGTTTCATAGCAGACTTAGTCAACATGTTTAAAGGTTGTCTGGCAAAAAAATGTCACAACATGCGATTCGTGGTCATCACCAGCTGCTGAATACTGAGCAGAATAGAGAATCTCTAAACTTTTAAAAGATGGCAAAACAGTAACAACGCTGCGAATCTTAATCCATGATTGTCTCAAAGGATTTCCAAGCTCAATGTTTGCCATAAGTGCATTGTATGGGATATGGAAGCTGAAGGCCAGTTTGAGCATTCTTGCTGTCTGGTGTGGTTAATGAATCTGCATTTTCAGCTACACCATGTAGATGGGCAAGTGAGAATTTGGCAGAAATACATGAAAGCATGGATGCTAAGTGCATAGCTACAATCCTTCAAGCTAGTGGAGGCAATTGAACAGTTTGGAGAATGTTTTCCTGGCATGCTTTGGGACCTTTAATTTGTGTTTATGAATATCTAAGATATCATACCTAAACATCCTTTCTGTCCAAATACATACTATTAGTTGATGGTTTTTCCCAATGGCAGTGACTACTTTCAATAGGATAATGCATTTTGCCATTGCTGGTATTATGCAGGATTGGTTAAGAACATAAGAGATAATTTATTTTGGCCCCTTGAATTACCATATTTCAGTGTCACTGAGCATTGTGGAAGGAGGCTGAAAAAGCCATCAGGCAACCATCCAGTCTCACACTGCTAGAAAGTGCTGTTCATCAAGTATAGTCTTTGATTTCACAAACTACATATCAACATATTGTACAGTCCATGCAAAGAAGAATCAGTGCTGTATTAAAGGCGAATAGTGGCCAAACAAAGTATTGACACAGTGGTCATAATTAAGTGGCCACTTAATATATTTAGTTATTGTATTCAATCTGAGAATTCAGTGTTTTTCATGTTAAATTTTTTATTCAAATTTTAATTAAGTTTTAATTTTGAAGTTTTCCCCCTATTAAATTAGGTTCCATTATGCAGCATGGTAAGCATAGCACTAAAAATATATTTTTAAAACTGAATTTGTATTTATGAGACATGTTATATAAAATCTTATGTGCATATTTTATATCCATTGAGCTCAAGACACACTATCATAATGTCTGCACCTTAATTGAGTAAAAAGTATACAGTCAAAAGTCGTTAATTCGGACACCCATAATCCGGAATGATCTATAATCCGGACCTCAAAGCTACAAACTTTCTGCGCATGCGTCAATATGCGCGTAAGACTTTACCGCTGCGATTTGCGTGTGCGCGTGCGCAAAATCTTTACGCATGCGCGTTTAATGTATAACGGACGGGATAAAGCTAAGCTAAAAATTATCTAATTATCTATTCAGTTAATGTTGCAGATTGCGTTGTTCCTTAATGTTCGAGTTGGATCCGGATTATTATTTTTTGCAGACTGTTTAGAGCAATTTTATAAAAGTAAGCTTGAACTTTCGATTATGTCAAATAGAATTTCCGATATATATTTACTAATATGTAAAGGATATACAAAGCGCAAGTATCTTTCGGAGTTCATTAAACAAAAAATGGAATTGCTGCAAAAAATGGATAAAGGCATATTCTTTGTTTATCTAAACTTAAACGTTTGTTTATCTAAACTTTGTTTATCTTTAACGCTGCGGCGGCGTGCAATGAATTGGAAGTTGATTTATCAGCACTATCCTTATCTTAAGAGGAGATGTTTTTATTTTATTTGGCTTATAATTGCTTACTCAATGTAGTATTTTATCTCGATGTACTCCGTCTTTGATATGATTTAAATCAAATGCCTCGTCATTATAATTCGCTTCCGATAGCGAAGAAAGTGACATAGGTTATTGAAAGCGAAAAAATTTCGATTGACAAATTAGTCGTTATTCTCGACACAGCAATTATAGGACTTGAACAGCGGAACTTCGTAACTGAACAAGAAATTATGTCTGTTTATAGAATTAAAGAGATGCATTATCACATAAAAAACGAAGCAACTGAAACAACTTACATTGAAAGAAATGTTTAATAAAGTAAACAAATAAATATTAAGCTTTTTTTTTTGTAAATTTTGATACCCTTTAGATCATAATTGTTCTTCATTTCGTAAATTACGGTTTCATATTTTTACTTTTATAATTTCAGCATGCCATTTTACCAGATTTAAACTGATGATCTATAATCCGGAAAAATCGATAATCCGGAATCGCCGAAGTCCCGATGAGTCCGGATTAACGACTTTTGACTGTATATAAAAAGGTTCACCTTTATAATGCCTGTACTAGCATTTTGTGATGGAAAAATTGCCACATAGAGTTTATGTGTGCGAATGCGGAAAAAAAGGTGCTTGGACTGCAATGTTGTTGTGGGCTAGAAAGTCCACAGAATTGCCCATTTGGAGAAGTGTATCTTAAGATATCATTAGTTTTTTTTTTTTTAATTAATAGTCATCTGAAAGGTAGTTAATAAAACTGAAACTGATATAATTTTGAATTTGCTGGTAATAAACAGTATCAGTTTATCTGTAATTATATTTAATGTATTTTTTTTTTACTTGCCTTTCAAGAGTTATTATGGGCTTTCTATTCTGCAGCAGTTTAGTTTTTTGACATTAGAACTTGAATAATCAATATAATGGTCTGTACTTGGAGATTTGCATTCAGACTTCTTTTGTTTGGTGGAGGAGAGAATAAAAATTGTATGTGTTATATAAAGCATTTAGGATGAATCGTTTTCTGTTTTATAACAGCTTTTAAAATTGTGGTTTAGGTAAAGGAATTTCATAATTTTTATTACGAAGAGAATGGAAATGTAATAAAAGAGCTTTCTTGATTAGCTAAACTGATTTGGTCATATTAGATTTAGATTCAGATCCATTGTCAATTTACAGTGTTTTTAGAAAACGTTTCTAGTTAAAAGCACTGGTGGTCTCCCCCCCCTCTAGAATTTTGCCATAAAATTTGGATATTTTTACTATACTATTAGCTGCAAATTTCTTTAATTTCCTTGTATTGCAATTTTAATTCTAAATATATGGGTACAGTTTATTATTTTATAATTTTAGAATTTTTATATGGAAAGATTTGGGCCTGAATATGTAGAAGTCATAAAAGATTCTAACAGTGTAGATCCACTCAAGCTTAATCCAGACAAGGTAAATTAACCTGCGTTTTAATCATTATAATTATTTTGTTTAAATATGCATTTAGAAGTATCATTATTGAGTTATTTTAATTAAAAATCTAATGCTGAATTTTTTTTTAATTTTTAGAAAGGCATAGTTATGTTAAGTATAGCAAATTGTGTGTATTTGTTACCAGCAACTGTAATATTTATTTTATTTATAGAAAAATTATTAATTCTCACTTTGATTTATCTTCCACTATTAATCAATTCTGAGAAGCTTAAAATTGATATGCTTGTATAAATTTAGAAGATTCTGGCTTCTCTTTCAAGAAAGACTATGGAAAAGTTTTTGTGATATATATATAAACTCATTATCTAAAAGCTATCTGTTTTTAATTTAATTAAATAAAATTATAGTAATTAATTTTTTAATTCAAAGTAGAGGAAGAATTTTTTAAACCTTAAAAATTACAAGATATGTATATTACTCCAATTTTTTTAATTTATTATGAAGTTTCATTTAAAAAAACATTTTTACTTTTAAGGGTAGTTACCATGCATTACCTACCCTTTTCATGTAGGGAAATATTGAAAATAGTGGCATTCAAAAATATAACTTCAGAATTGGAAATATGTCTGATAATGCATTTGAAATAAAATTATTGCAGAAGGTTCTTTTACATCAAAAACAGTGATTTTTAAAATGAAATAAATGCGAGAGTTACATGTTAGCTTTGATAAAATGTTAAATTTAATTTTATTTTGTCTCAACATGGTCTGAAACTTTACTCAGATGAAGGGGAATAAGAGGTTGTACTTCAAGAGAAAGATTATTTCTTATCAAGAACATAATTTATTTCTAGCAATTATACTGTTGTATTGCTTGCAAATGCCTGTAAATTATGTTTAGCATGGTCTGCTTAAGGGAGCGAATTCATTAAATAAGGTAGAAAAAATTGTCAAGTAGTAAATTGAGAAGCATGGAACAAAACTTCCTGATTTTTATAAATATAAATGTTTTTAAAAAATGGCTTCATCATTAACTGTTAAATGTTTTCTCCTTGATTTTAATAGAAACTCGAGAGAATAATAGGAAGACAAGCAGTTGTAATAGTGATGGAAGATTTCAGGGCTTTTTTAATTTGAGCCAAGTGTAATTAACCACTCTGACAGGGGCTGTTGTAAATTTCCAAAAAAAAAAAAAAAACCTTTCAGATCTTGTATAAAACTTGTAAAGTCTAAGCAATATAAATTTTGCAAAGGACTAGAAAATGACTTGAGCATTAAGTACAGTAAGAAAAAATTAGTAAAAATAAATGCAAAAGTTTCTCTTATATGTAGAAGGTAATAATTTTAATTTTTGCTGAAGATTAAGCTTTACCAAGGTGTTAGAAACATCTTCTGTTAACTAGAGTTGTGATGCAAGAATTTTTAAAAATTATCATTTAAATATAAAATGGCATAAATACAATACAAAGCATATAAATTCTACATACATGAAAACTTAAGTAAAGTGCAACAATATGTGAAAAAGGAATGGATTAAAAGGGAACTGAAAATCCCAGGATATGAATATAAGAGAGTTTGATTTATTTTTATTTTTTTTTAATTATGAAAATTCTGCTAATGCTCATAATTATCAATTTACTAATTAAATTAGAAATTAAATGTATGCCAAAGTACATCAGGAGAAAACAGAATAAATATTTAGTTTCTAGTATTAAAATATGGAATTTGTAACAAAGTTAAATAACCTTAAAATAACTTCAATGACTAAAAATGGAAAGCTTAATGCGGGAATATATTTCAATAATATTAGTGTGAATTTAGAATGACTTAAGAAGACCAATTTTTAGATTTAATAAAGAGAATTTTTTTTAAATTAAATTAGAACTGTTTACCTAAAATGGTAAATTTGAAAGTTAAAACCATTCTGCTATCTAAGATTTGTTAATATTTATCTAGACAAGAAACTTATTTAAGGTGAGCTACAAATCCGATATTTTGATAGGTTGATTATGTATCAGCTTTGTGTATGTCATTAATCTGTCAATTTTACTATTCAAAACCTGATATATACATATATATATATCAGCGACTAAAATCTACAACTTGGAAAAGGTTTTAATTCTTACAGAGAATAAAAAACGATCTGGCTCATCATTCCATTTAAGCATCATAAACATTTTAAAATGAGTGTAGAAAAAATTATTTTTACTTTAAGCACATGCCAGACTTTAAATTAATATTTGTTTTGCAGGCACAATTTTTACAATATTGATAAATGAAAATAAAGGCTTGCAGTCTCAATAGAATGTCTCGTTAATGTTGATAAATGACCTTTTGTAGCACCCAATCTTCTTGGGAAAGAAATAGGGAACAGGAAACGTCGTGCAGTTCGTGGATTAGATAAGAGGGGGACGGGGATCTTCAATCAAATTTAGCACAGTTCGTACCCTTACCCTCATTAGGGTTGCATTTGTGAACCTGCATTCGTAGAGATTCTGAGTCATTTTGTTGTATCCTACTCCTCGTAGACATTTGTTCCTCTAGTTTTGAATAAAATGTTCTGTATACTTACAAATTTAGTTACAAATTTGTCAAGTTATTATACACACACATATATATAACTTGGCAAAGTTGATAATATAGTTGGATGCATAAAGAACAACTTGATTGTGGACAAATTTTAGTATTCTTTGGAGGGTGGCTATGAGCTAATTTAATTATTTCTTTTTTGTTAATTTGTTGGCACACATTTTTTCATTAAGCCAACGCAGGTAAAATGGGCATTAGAGCGCTCTGTTCTTAAAGAATTTTTACATTGGTACTGATATATTTGCAAAATATATTTTTTGAGACAGCAAGTTAGCAGTTTTGAAGCAGAAGGCTCAATGTAATGCATTCAGAAGAAAGCCTGAGAAAGAGAATCAAAAAGCTTCAGTTCTCAATAGAAATCTTATTCAGTAATCAGATAAAAGGTGTCTGCATTGTGGAGTTCTGTAAGGTTGCAGGAAGCAAATTAATTTGGAAATGGTGCTCTTTAAATTGATATATTATAAACATATTATTTATAATATATTATTATTAGTGATATTTTATAAATAGTTAATATTTTTATAGAATATAAAGGGGAAGTACCCAAACTGAAATGAAGAATAAAAGGAGTTATTGGCAATTAAAATTAGAAGTTTCCTTTTATATTTTATATCTTACATATAAGATAAAAAAAGAAAAGAGACTTAATTGGCTGAAATAATTGTGAGAGACGAAATATGATGAAATACATTACCTAGGCAATAACTGTTTATCATTTCAAAATTTTATCTGACATGCATTAATTTGATAACTGCTCTAACCTGATAACATAACATTTAAAAAAAATTACATTCATATCATAATTACATAGTGAATGTTTTTATCTCTAATTTGTGATACAGATCTTCAGCTTAATTTAAGATTTTTTGTTTTATCTGTATAAATTTAAAATCATGAAATTCAATAACATTTAATTATTGATTTTATATTTATAGGCTTATATTCAAATAACATATGTTGAACCATTTTTTGAAATGTTTCAATTACGGGAGCGAATTACTCATTTTGATAGAAATTACAACATAAGTAAGTTAAAAAATTCATTACTTAATAGAAAAATTATTATATGTTTTTAAGAAATGTAATAAAATTTTCTAAAAGAATAAATTATTTGCAATGTACAAAAAAAGATTTTTTTTTAATTCTTTTTTGTATATGATAAAATTTAGGACCTGAAAATTGATATTACTGATTTCAGTATGAAAAGACAATTGCTTCTGCAGGAACCTGCATCATGTGCCAAATGTAAAGCTGTTGCTTTTTCGTGGAGTATAATGTGATTATTTATCTTCTAAAATAAGCTAGCTGCAGGGATTTTTTGTGGTTTGCCACATGTGTAACACTGATATGAGCCAGTTTCCCTTAGAAGTCCTCCACGAAAAATCCCTCCCCTTAAGCAGATAGCCCTCATGTACTTTGCCATACTTAAATAAATCAAATTATACTTTAAATGAAAGATAAATGATGGCATAATGCTGTGTGGGTTATTATAAAGACACTACTTTATAATAAATAAAGATATCTTTATCTTCAATAGTTCATTACTTATATGTTATTTTCAGTACATTATCTGATTAGTGAGTTTAATTTAGTAATAAGGAAACAGTTCTTTTATTTTCAAGTCACAATGTTTTTTATTGCATAATACTTTGTTAAGATATACTTCCTTGCTGCATTTATAATAAAGATCAAGAACAGGTTTCATATCAACAATGATGATGAAAAATGTTTATAGGATGCTTTATCTATGCAACACCATTCACACCTGATGGACGGGCTCATGGTGAATTACATGAACAGTATAAACGTAAAACTATTCTTACTACAGCATATACTTTTCCTTATGTTAAAACAAGAATACAGGTTGTAGAAAGACATCAGGTAAGCTATTATTGCTTATTCTGTTTATTTTTGTTTATCCTATATTCTATATAATGCTTTCTTGTGTAATATGTTGATTTTTCAAGATCTTGAAGTGTTAAAATGTAATTCTAATAAAATTGCTTATTGTAGTAATGGGAAAAAACAGTTTATTATATTATATGAATAAAATCTTTTAAACAGCTTTTAAAATTTTATTTCAGAAGGTTATTTTTAATTCATAATATATAAGTAAACTTCCATATGTATACTAAATTTTTTTCATTTTATTTACTAGATTTACTAACTTTACTAGTTTTTTTTTTTATAAATACATGTTTTATGTAATTATCTATACTGTTTGAATTATTAAATTATCTTAAAGATTGTGCTAACACCAATTGAAGTTGCAATTGAAGACATAATGAAAAAGACCCAAGAGTTGGCAAATGCAACAACTCAAGAACCAGCAGATCCCAAAATTTTGCAAATGGTATTGCAAGGTTGTATAGGAACTACTGTTAATCAGGTAAAAATTAATTAATTTTATTATCATCTGGTTTTCATTTGAAATAACATAGTATGAACTGTGTTCATATTTCTTCTTCTTTTTTCCCTCCTGCACGTGCATGCATTTGTGTGTGTATTATGAAATGCTGAATTTTTGGAACCTTATCTTCTGCTAATGAAAGCCAAAATTAGACTTTCGTAGTTTGATACAGTATTTTATCATACATGGCATAATTCTTCTGTAGTGATTAATGCATATTTTGTTATCAGATGGAGGCAAAATATGCCAGTGTTAAATTTTAAACTTAGTCAGAAATGCAGTCTTGGTTTGGCATACATTTTGGATCAAACTTTATCACTCTACACCATTTTATAAGCATATGTTAAAGAATAATGCATTTGCAAAGGTTAATTATAAACTTATTCCTTCTTACCTGGATGCAACATATGTCATCACCAACAGCTCAAGTTTGTTGTATATTGACTGCAATCCTGTGGTATTGTTGTGAGCTATCAAACAATACCAAAAGAATATACAATACCTCAAATAGGTAGATATTTTTTTATCTGTCTCTGTATGCTTAGGAGGAAATTCACAAATTATTGTTAAAACAGTTGCAAACAGGACAGCAAATAACTTGAAACAGCTTAAACAGAATGTAGATATAAACAATTTGCCCTTAGTGCACGAAAAATATCAGCAATTGCCAAAATCACTTGCAAAGTAAACACAATTCAGCTAAATTTTGCAGTTGAATAATAATGAAAACAGCTACAACAAGTCATAGAAGCTCTCTCAGCCATAGAAGTCATAGAAGCTCATCTCTTATAATAGATACAAGATTCTTGAAATTTCAAGAAAGACCTGTCATGTGATGAGCATATCTCACAATTTACTTAAACTATTTTTGTACTCTGAATGTTGCCATTCTCATCAATAAAATCAATATTTCCATATTTTAAGTAAACACCAATATAAAATGCATGTGACTACATATACAAAGCAAATAAATAAATAATTAAATAATACAACAATGCAATAAAGGATTTAAGTATTTACAGATATATACATCCAACGATATTTTAAGTTTGGAATGAATTTGATTAGCATGTGGGTCACATCCACATAGTAATAAAATTCATTCCAAACCCAGAATGCCATGTCTGATGAAATGACATGTAGGGCATACATTATTTTATTGTGAAGTTTCAAGATGGATGCTTGCAATGGTTGGTACCAGATGGAATTCAAGATGGATGCTGCCAATAAATGCTGTCCTTAATAAATTCCCAAAGCAAGTAATCTTACAGTGTAAAATCTGGTGAACAAGGTGGCCAGAGGAGAAGGTCATTGTTTCCATCTGCAGTATTTGTCTGAACCAGAGGTGAGGAAGAACATAATTGTAATGCATTTTCATATTCTTGTGAAAATGGAAAGAAGTTTCCTCCATTCATGAAATGTAATCAGAACTGGTATTAAGTTGGTATAACAATGACTTTCCTTACATGTTCAAAAATGAGTGGTCATTCGTGGTAGCTTTAGACGTGAAAAAAAGCCATTTTTTGCAACCATCTTTGCTGTAATGCCATCTTATAAATTTGACCCGTGGTACCTCTATAAGCATGAAAAGTGAACTTCTAGTAATGAATAATGCTTCTAATGCTAACTAGACACTTGCCTTTGCTGATAATGGGCATTGTGCTTGTGTGAGGTGAAAAATAAATTAACTTTTGAAACTACATTATTCTTTTATGTATTCCCTGTACGTGCATTTCTGTTATTATTGTTCTTTCACATATTATTTATATGAGTATGCTATATAATATGTGCTTATAATTTCAGTGAAGCAGGCAAACATTTTGGGAACAAGAGACTTAAGATTAAAGAAATACAATCATGGGTTTTAAGAATATTAACTTGTATGTACTTTTAAAGCCATATAAGAATTTGTGCTTACGATGTATGTTTACAGTTTTGTTTATTGTTATTTTATTAATATATTGGAAGCATAAGGTAATTTTAAATTGTTCTAGAATTATTGCCAAAGAACAGACTGTAAATTGCATTGTCAGAATTTGAAAAATATGTGTGACATGCAGGGCTGGGTTAAAACTTTTACAGGATCTAAGCATTAAAAGATTTTGGTGCTCACACATACATTTTTGCCTCTTTTTTTTTCTTCCATTTTTACTCTGTCTGTCTTAGTTCATCTGCACCATATATTCCATATAAAACCAGCATTGAAAAATCCTATTTCTTGATGCCCTAAGCAAATGCTTGCTTTGCTTAATGGTTAATCCAGCTGTGATGGCATCAAACCACAGATTATGTAATAATAATTTTTCCTTTCAAACATGTAAAAACACTTTTCTAGTTCTGTGAAAATCCAAAATGGCAATGTGTGATTATCATTAAATGAGTAACATGCATATATGAAACTGTTTCTTTTCTAGATTTTGATTCTCCTGTATTCTTAATTTATGATGATAGTCTTATAAGGTATTTCTCCCACTTTCCTAGCGTGCCTTCGTGGTGTAACGGTAGCACGCTGGGCCGGTATTCCAGAGGTCCGTGGTTCGATTCCCGGCGAAGGCGGTTTCTATTTTTCATCTCCCTTGCTTCCAATTAACCTAATGTCTCTACAGTCTAACGAAGAAATATATATTTACTTCTGTAATAAGTGTAGATTTTATGATCTTATATCTAATATTTATGCTATTGTAATATCCATTGCATTTTTATGTATCAGAATTATTTGCTTTCTGCCATTTATGATTCTTCATAATTTCATAAGAAAATATACATTAATATTTTAATAAGTTATTTTTTAAAATAATTAATAATTTTTTTAACATTTGTTACTGTAAAAAGCTTAATAAAACTGATTTTTCAGGGTCCTATGGAAGTTGCACACGTGTTCCTTCTTGATTTGATTGATGGGAAAAAATCTCCTACTCCACTTCAGCATAAACTAAGATTATGCTTCAAGGATTTTTTGCTTAAGTTAGTTTCTTTTACTTTCAGAATTTTGAGCAAAATCTTCTGTTCTAAAAAAGTTTTGTTTAAAGAACTTTTACTATTTTATTCTTATATTATGCAGGAACAAATACAAAAATTAATAAATAAGTTTTACTATGAATAGTGATTTAAATTATTGTGCTAGCTGTAAGTAATGCACATTCTATGTAATGTGTGAAGTCTTTAGCAAAAAGGTCAAAACATGTAAGAGAGAAAAGGACGTAACAGTATATGATTGTGTTATAATGTTCTTTCTCTTTTGTTTCATAATAGCATAATGCTGCTAATAGCTGAGGTTAAGTTATTTATTGCAGAAAAGCACTCAATAGGTATTCAGAAGACATTGAAAAGGAAACTGGTTCATATTTATAGCTGAAAGTTGAAGTGGAAGAGAAAACACAAGTTAACAAGAGAATAGGAAACCTACTAGATATGAGAGATTATATATTTGACATATATCTGTGGGAGATGAGTGGAGGTGTTCTTATAATAGTAATATTTGATTTAATAGCAGCATCCTGGAAACAACAACAAAAAATCATTACTCCAAATTTGCTGTACTTTTTGTAGCCTAGGAAACTTGGATGGCTTCCATGATGATAGCTGATTTGTTTGTAGGTCATATACATGCACTCAAAACTCATCATGAGTGTTAGCGTCTGTGTGAGTATATATTCTTATTATCACAATACAACATATCATCATTCATGTCAAGGCAAAGGTTTCATTTCTTAGGTCAGAAGTTTTAATACAAATTTTATTGGTAATTGGCAAATGCCTGACTCTTCAGACAAAATCACTTGCATTGAACTGTAATTAGTATCCAGACTTTTGGTTTCTGTCATTTAAGTATTAATTTTTCATCACCAAAGTTTACTGTCTTGGATTACTGTGTGATTCTTGGTTGGTTATTGCTCTCTTCTGACATAAGTCATATTTGAAGCAAGTGAGCTTCCAGCATAGCTTAATAATGTCAACAAAGTTATGTAATACATGCTCATTGTCATCCATTGAATCTTTCTAATTGAATTTTAGGAAATTTGTGGGAAACTATTTTTACAAGGTAAAATTAAAATGTTGTAGAATAATTGCTTCCCCCATGGAATAGTTAGACTAGGCTAGACATTGCCTTATCAGAATTTGAAAAATGTCTTTGGTATCATAGAACTGGTGGTATATTACTATTTACTTAAATAGAGGGGGGGAAATGTTATTACATTCCAGTTCTTTGAAAATTAAAAATGTAGTCAGTATCTTGGTTTACATCTGCTTTGAAATGCATCCAACATGGTATATATCTAATTGGATGTAAAAATTTTTGTTTGGAATATGATTCAGGTTCAGTGAATGGTACCTGTGCACACTATGCTTTTGTACCTCTTTTGAGACAATGGTATGACTACCCATAAGCATGATTTTGCCTGTTGCTATTATTTGATAACCAACCCATGCTATAACTCCAAATATTTGAGTGATTTTATTTTGTTATAAAAATTGTTTGTTAATTCCTTAACAATGAGTTTTTGGAAAATTAAAGATAAGAATCAAGCACAATGAAGAAAATTGTTAGGATCACCATGGGGGGGAAGAGATTGTTGAAAGAAAGGAGGTGGCATGTGTATCTGGAATTGTACTATTGCATACCATATGTTGAATAGGACACTGCCCCATGCCACATTTAAACAAACATTGTATTTAAACAAACAGTAATATGATTCAATTTCAGTTCCATATAATTCTTAAATGATATTTGCTTTACTTCTGCAAGTTGACTCATCAAGTATAGACTGACAGCAGTCGTTATTTTTTCCTAAATTAACCTGAATATAAATTTCTTTTAAAACTTATATGCTAATTAAAAAAAAATTAATAGCATGAGATGGATATGTTACTAGCTACTGTGTAATAATTGCAACAGCTTTTGATCCTTTAATAACAGTTCCTTTTGATATGAATAATCATAACAATTTATGAACAAACAACAAAACAGAAAAGAAAAGAAGAAATTAAATGTTCTAACATTAGGGGAAAGAAATATGATAAATTTATCAAAAAAAGAAAATAATTTTATGAAATGAAGGATTTGTTAATACATTATATAATCAATAAATTATGTTTATTTTATGTTATTGTGTTGATATCAGCCATACTTATATTTTACTATGTCTGTGTTTGATTTTTTTTTCTTCTTTCTATAGATCTTATGAAGCCTTGCGCAAGAACAGAACACTTATAGGACCAGAGCAGAAAGATTATCAAAAGGAATTGGAAAGAAATTACCATAAATTTATAGAACGTCTTATGCCAATGATAAAACTATCCACTGCTACAGCTTCAAAGCTTGGAAGGTTTGTTTATGTTTCGGTACTAGTACATTTAATGTGTAATATTTGATTAAAAGAATACTAGTATCTGCTTTTACATTTTTTAATGAAATTGCTAAATAAAAGCATTTTTTCTTTAATAGTTCATAACAGTTTTCTATTTCTATAACAACTTGCTCTGTTTTTGGTAATGCTTTGCATTATATGCTAAAATTCTGCTACTAACCTTGCTTTCCTCTGTTTCAAAACATTAGTGAGAATGATCGCTGAAAATCAACAAGTTGATATTAGCATTCTAATTCATCCCAAATCTTAATGAAAGTAAGATCAGTCCTTGTAAAATCTAATTATTCTCTAGTGCTCTAGTTTAAGTTTCAATTTAAATATCTGTCTAAATTTATGACACTGCCCCATGCCAGTGATATATGACTTGACTCAAAGTAACTCTCAAACTATAGATCAACTCTGATAGTAGGCCCTAAAAGTACCTTTATTAATGATTCTAGTGGTCTTAGATTTTAATTTCAAAAATCTTTCTGAATTTCCTATACTACTGCACACTAATGGCATATGATTTAACATAAATGACCATAAACTTATAGCTGACAGCTTTACCATACACTAAAGTCTTTAGCCTAATTATTGTCCTTAGACATATTAACACTCATTAAAACACCAATAAGAGTAAAAGTGCAGGTGTTAAAACTTTGATTGATATAAAATTAGCAATATGTACTCAGCTTTTTAAATTTTTAAAATTGTTTTATAAGAATTTTAATAAAGTCTAATGTAGTAGAAAATGTAACTGAAATAATAACAATGCGAAAATAACTTATTATTAGCATTCATCATTTATTAACAGCATTCATCATTTATAATATTATTAATAATTAGAATTCAGATCTTGACAAATCACAATTTTACTTTTAAAAATGTGTTTATTCCAAGTACTTTGTTTACATAAAAAATATTTTATATAAATAAAAGGGGGTATTTAATGATAATAATTATTGGCTCTTTCAAAGGCAAACCGCAGTTTGTTTAAGAAATTTACTATGCAGTTAATGCCACGCAATATCTTTGGACATCTTCAAAATCATTTTTATTTGTTGCTTCACTAGAAGTAGAAAAAAATCTGATGTCAACACCTCATGACTTCCTTGTGTGGCCTATTAAATCATACACATTTGTTGCTGCACTTCTTCTAAACTTAATCACTTGAATTTCATTACAGATATATTTCTCATTTAATTAATTCAGTTTTTGCTTCACAACAAGGCAAAAATACATAAAATATCAAAACATCTTCATTAAAAATTGTAAAATGCAGAAAATTCTAAAACAACAAATACAGTTAAAAAGAGTTTTAAAAAACCATTCTTACAATTAAAATTAGTTTGCACAAAAACAAGCAATAAGCAATTCGGCCAGCTGACAGGGAGACTGATTTTTCAGTGCACAAAATGGAAAGTTTGCTTTTGATCCCACTCAACATAAAGACATTGAAATTGGTGCAGAAACTGACTTAATTCGCTGTTCTAATAAGAGCTTCAAATGTAAACAAATGGTCACTTTATTATGCTTAGTAGCACATAACAACTTTTAAATTGTTAATAATTCTACAACTATTGCATGCAGATTAACTAAAGGCATAAAAACCTTAACTGGAACATAAGAACAACATAATTCAATCACTTTAAATGCACAAGTTACCAACATATAAGAATAAATGAACTGAGCTGATTAAAAACTGAGCTCACCAAGCCAGATAACAAAATCAGTATGTATATATATATATATATTAACTTTTGATGTGGCTGATTGCAAACAAAAAGGGAGGTGCACAAATCCATGTTATAGCAATCCCATATGCAAAATTTCAACTTTCTGATGCAACTCGTTTTTGAGTTATGCAAGATGCATACATACATGCAGATGTCATGAAAAAATTTCTTCTGGATCCATTTCATGTCCATTTTGCAATCCATTTTTGCAAAAAGAGTCCTTTATTCTGTCTGTTTGCACAGATGTCATGCAAAAAGATCATTCAAATGGGTTTGAGAGTGGTCAAAATGGATATTTTGGAATGGATCCAAAATTTTTCACATTTATAATACCATCTTTACTTCATACAAGGAAGTAAAAATCTTATATTCTAGTAAATAATGTTGCCACTGTTAAACATTTCTGTTATAGAAGACATTGTTTGTTTATAATATTTTTGGCGTATTGTTTGATGTGCTGAGAAGTATTGAATATATATACAGTGGCTTCCAAAAGTGTTCGTACACTTATGATTTTCATTGTGGATTAAACCTATATTTCAAGTTATGGAACAAAAAAGTTAATAAGAAGAAAGTTAATTTAAAAGTTAATATTATTAAATATAAGTTCAGTAATATTCAAAATTCAGATAACATTACACATTAAAATTTTGACTGCTAAGTTTAAAGAAACTGCTGGTGCACTTTTTACAGAGTTTGGCACTTTGGCCTAATTTGTAGTGTGGAATTGAAGTATGGGCAAAAATTGGCATGTCATTTCGGGCAAAGTACAATCTTGTGTCAAAAAATATATATTAGAATAACACTTATATAAATCTAATATGTATCCTAAGCCATGTTTTTGAGACATGAGAAATGACAAAATTGAATTTCATTAATTGGCCAAGTAGAAGGAGAAATATGGGAACTTTTGGGAATTAGTGAATTTGCGTATAGAGAAACGATAGTCCAATTACCCTGATGAGTTTATTCATATAATGGAAGCTGTACTATGTTTAATTGAATGTTTCCTCAGATATTTCTTCTTTTGAATAGGGAGCGACATGGAAGTGGTGACAGAATACCAAAGAAGAAGCAGTAACATGCAAGCTGTTTTTTAAAGACATGAAAAAAAATGCAAAGCAATGTTTTTGTATATTTTTTTGGGGGGAGGAGGCTAGTGGTTTTCTTATATGCTCTCTTTGTATTTTTATTTTATTGCTCTGATATGTGATAAGATTCCAGGCCACCTAAATGTTTACATATAAAACATTTCCAATAATTTTTAATCTACTCTTGTCAAATATATATTTAGTTTGGGATCATTTTCTAGATTGTAAATATGTTTTAAAAGTTTTAACTTTATGAAGTGTTAGATTTTCTCTTGCTCAATTTACGTGAATTTTATATTTAGAATATGCCTATTTTATAACTTTTTTTATAATAAATGTGTACTTACTTGCTGCTTTTAGAATTTTATTTTTGCTAAATATTGATGTTAAATTTTATGAATGTGCTGTCTTTTGTAATTGTCTTTTTTCTGCATGACTGTTTTTAATATATTCTGCATCAATCTTTTTAATATATTAGTGAAATAAAATACCTGCGAAAGTCTGTTTTGTTGTTATTATTTATTTAAAGCATAGTTAAAAAAAAAACCTTTTTTGGACATAGCACAAAATAATATTATTCAAAATAATTGTCTTTTATTTGATATACAGGAATACTGTAAGAAAAAAATGCATTTATTAATATACTTTATTGAGTTCAAGCCTTATTCACAAGAAACTTTTTTAACCATTTTTAGTAACTGAGCTGAGAAAGAAAATTTGAAAGAGGTTCTCATTTTAAATATCTTTTCACAGCACAGAAATCCACTGACGTCTAAAGCATATGATTAATTTAATTTTTATATATGCATGCATGTGTGCCAGCCATTGTAAATTATGGTAGTGATTATAATGGAGTGAATGGTTTTATACAGGAAGATGAAGTTATGGTGATTGATAGGGTTTCCCCCCATAGCATTATTGAAATCGTGACTTATGAATTATTATTATTATTAAATTCCAGAATGTCAAGGATAGCAAAATACTATCTGTCACTAGCATGGGCTTTGGACACCTTATAGGTGATAGTATGGCTTTGCCCACTTCTGTATCAATTTTGAAAGAAATTCCTTTTATGGGGGGGGGAATAGATAATTTAGTAAAAGATCTCTTTGGCACAGGCTTGAGGGTCTCCCACAAAAACCACTCAAGGATTTCTGGCTTGTTAAGTGTCTCCATGTGGCAAAAAACTTCACTTACAAAAATCCAGCTCTTCCCTAGGATTCTAACCTATAAAGAGATGAAGTGTTATAACCTGTAAAGAGATTTCTCAGTAGATCAATAATACAGTAAACACATGTGAAGCACAGATTTGTGGTAATGCAATTTTGCACATGCATCTTTAATTATTTCTGTTCTGTGCTACAATTTAATTCATGTGCAGTATGCTGCAGGGTGTTGGCATAACAGCTTACTTTTACAAGAGATCTTTCAAGCATGCATCTGCCTGTTAACTGAGTAACTATGGTCGAATTATGATCCTTTCACCCAAGTTAGAAGAGTCTTAATCTCATTGTTAACTACACTGGTGTGCAAAAATTAAGGACGAGATGGTTTTTTCAATATAACTTTGTTCAAAAGCTTTCCAAATCAACACAGCAGAATAGAAAAGCTTGGGTAACAAAAGGTATTTTTAAAGACTGTTGAAAATTCGTTGGTTAAAAAAAATCAAAGTGATCCTAATTATCAATAATGCTCCAGGACACGAGGCACATTGCATCCAATTGTAGAGGTTTTATTCCTTCTATATAACACCATTTCCTTAATATAAGAAGAAATTGTCTTGTTTCATTAACCCTTTTCTGTATAGAACTCACCGCCGTTATACATTTGTGGTACGAAAAAGGTTTTTCACAAGAGATACACTGTACGGAAGCGTAAGCCGCGAAAATGTGTTTTGCGGTGTTCATATTCATTAATTTTAGACATGCATCATTTTCGATAATGAAAAGTAGCTATCTCTGCTCATAGATTCTCTAAAAATATTGCTTCGGAGAAGTTTATCTTTACCCCAAATATTTCTGTAACGATAACATTTTATTTTGTGTCATTAATAATGACGCAGCAATAGAACAATATAATTCATACAATTCCATTCCTTTTGAAACCTCCAACGACACCAGTAGTAAAACTTTTTAAATCAGCACTTTTTTAAAAATAACAAATATTGTTTGTTTGCAGGGTCATTTTACGCATGGACGCTTGTCCGGAAGCTCCTTGATCCATTTGTAACCCAAAATATAGTTATCCTCCGATCACGTACACTGCGCAAAAAAAAGGGGGGACAGTTTTATAACTCCCATTTTAAGGGACCGACTGACGAAATTCAAATTGCATTTTCCATGTCTCGAAAGCGCGACTTAGGATATATATTAGCTTTATATATAACATTGCTCTAAAATCTTGCTTGACACAAAATCGGACTTTTTTTTAAATAACATATCAATGATTTTCCATATTTCGATTCTATGATTCAAATTATGCCTGGATGTTAAGTTTTATAATTTTTGGTTAAAAATTTATGGAGAAATTGAAAAAATTTATCTTGCCGCATTTTTATCAGTTTGAGCCAAGAATTTGAGCCACCTGGCGAACTTCTTAATTTAAAGCAACCTATTTTCCTTTCTTTTTTTCATTGTTCACAATGGGAAAAAAGTCATCGTTCATACTTTCAAATCATTTTACTAAAGTAAACTACATTTTCGTTGTAATCGCTTATAATAAATATGCCAAATTTCGAAGCGCGTAACAAAAAGTAACATAAACTACATTTTCGTTATTATCGCTTATAATAAATACGTCAAATTTCAAAATGCGCCAAAATGTAAATTCACGTATATCTTAGGAAATCTGGAATAAAAAAACACTAATTTTGCAGGTATGCTTAGAAATACATCTACTTTAAGATGATGGCAAAAATTTGATAGATTATAATTCAAATTATTTTTCGAAAAATTTATAGAAATTATTTAAAAATAAATCTTAAAAAAATGGGCAAATTTTATTTGAAATGAACCTAAATTTCAAAATGTGAAAGAAAGAATCAAATAAGTTTAATAAAAAAAAAGAGATATTAATAAATATATGCTAAACTCAATTAACATGGAGGAGCTGAAATTTTGAGAGCTGACTTTTTTAAAAAACTACTCCTGCGATTTTTACAAAACGTAGCACTTTGACATAATTTGAGTCGTAGGATCGAAATATGGAAAAACAATTTGTATATTATTTCAGAAAAAGTCCAATATAGTGTCAAAATACCTATATTAGAACAATTATGTAAGTCTAACACATCTCCTAAGTCGCGCTTTCGAGATATGAAAAACGCAATTTTATTTACGTCGATTGACTCAATAGAACAGGAGATGTAGAACTGTCTCCGCCCCCCCCCCGTGACCTTCCTGAATTTAGATGGCTTGGTCAGCTTCAAAGTCACGTGATTTGACGTCACGAAAAGCGTCTTAACTTTCATCCTTGGCGCTTCACTGTTGACACTGTAAGCGAAGAATTCCTGCGTTAGTTTCTTGCTGTCATTACTTTGCATGTGTTTTTCCCCCCATTATTCATGTATTTTTTTATTACGAAATTTGAGTAATAATTAAAAGTAGTTATGCTGTTTGTTTTTAAGTTCACCTGGTAGTTAAGTTTATTATTTCTTTAGTATTTGTTAATAAATATAGCTATCGATTTCTGGGTAGAGCGGCCCATCAGCGGCCGAGCGTTAAAGTCGCTGAATACTGGTAGTTCGGTCAGAGGTTCGAATCCCGCGAACGGCTGGCTACATGGGCGTTTTCTTGGTTTTCCCCATGTGTAACGTGTATACGAGCCAGTTTTCCCTTAGAAAGTCCTCCACGAAGGCATCCCTCCCCTTAAGCAGATAGCCCTAGTGTGCTTTGCCATAATCTCAACAAACCAAACCATCTATGTAGAGCTAAAATGAGTTAAGTCTACTTTCATGCGTGCATGATGTTGCGTTTCTGACTGCAAATCAAATTACTGTAAAACCAGTGAATATATAGAGATATTCAAGTTTCCAATATATACATTAAAACGGGATTTCTAGATAAAAAATTCTGAATTAGCGTTGTATGTGAGAAATAATCGTACCGAAGCTCCCATCAGATGTGAAGAAAACGAAAGCGCTGCTTTCTGATGCTTCAACTTAAATGACGATCTTCAAATGATGAGGGCATTATTGTTTAAGTTTGTAGAGGACACCCTAAATTATAATGCATGCATTTTTTCTGATTGCCCTAAATACTTATTTGATAATCTGACATCACCGAGGATGAGCACAGAGTCAATATGGATAAACATATTTTTTATGAATTTTTGAAAAAGGACAAAATTGCATCTTTTGAGAATTTTTCTTCTTCATTATGGAATAAACATTTCAGATTTAATTTCACATAAAATCTGTTGATGGGAATTATGTTTTATTGCTCAGTTTTAATCTACAGCCTAAAGTTGGGAAGCATATCTAACTATCACTTCATATGAATACAGCAAAGTCTCTTGGACGAGAAGATGTTGAAATGGGAGTATGTAAAATTATATTAAATGGAAATACTAAACTTACTTTATGGACTGAATTTGAAAACATGTATAGTTATGTCAAAAGAATAGTAATTAAAAACATTAAAATCGAACTATGACTTACCAGTACATAACTAGGAAGCAATGCGTTAATAAAAATCACCTGAGAATCATACTTAAGGAATAGAACATTTTATTTTGGAACAAATTAAGATGTGTAATAAAAGTAAAATGGCTAGAAGGTACTGGTCTTTGCTCATTTCGTTATACATTATCCGCCAGCCACATAGTGGTAAAATCACTGAACATTGGTTGTTCCAACCTGGGTTCGAATTCAGGCGAAGAGGCTGGCTGCAAAGAGCATTTTCGTGATTTTCTCCATGTATAACGTGTATGCAGAGCCAGTTGCCTTAGAAAGTCCTCCGCGAAGGCATCCCTCAGACATATAGCCTTAGTGTGTTTTGCTATAATATAATAAACTAAATCAAGTCAAATCAAATCGCTATACATTAAGTAAGCTGCTTGTTATAGTTGCATCTATGACAGTAAACTAATCTGCCTTCCATGCATTGACCATTTCTGAAAAATCCTAAGTTTGTTAAAGCTTGATGTACCAACGAACAATGAAGCTAATTGCAAATATGTAAAAGGTAACGTTAAAGAATTACTGGGACATGAATAATTTGTGAATTTATATATTGATGAGGTTCCAGTGAAAAAAGTGACATAGAAAGGTAATATAATATTACAATCAAAAGTCGTTAATCCGGACTCGTCGGGCGATTCCGGATTATCGATTTTTCTGGATTGTAGATCATCAGTTTAAATCTCGTAAGATGGCATGCGGAAATTCTAAAATTAAAAATATGAAACCTATTCTGAATAAACATTATGGTATCAAACGGTTCAAAATTTACCAAAAAAAAAAAAAAACGCTTATATTTATTTGTTTACTTTTTCTTTTTTCAA